ACAAAGATAAATCTTGTAAGTTTATAAAATTAAATTAATAAGAGTGATATGTAATACTATTGTGTGATATTTTCTAACTAAAATTACTGTAATATAATAAAGAGGAAATGTAGAGAGAGAGAGAGAGAGAGAGAGAGAGGGAGGGAGAGAGAGAGAGAGAGAGAGAGTTTGTGTAGTACTGTAATGAGAATCGAATTAATGGAGCGAAAGAAAGTGAAAATGAATGAAATGAATGCAATGACTGAACGCAATGAACGAGTGGACGAGTGCTGACATAAAGTGATTGAGATATTCAGTGATATTAAGAGGGAATCGATTGCATTAATTAGATGAGGGAAAAGAGTCATAAAAGTGAGAGCAGAGCTTATAATAGACTTTAGATTTTAATATCCATAACTTTCGCACGAAAATGATTTTTGACAATAGTTTTACAAATATTGCAGAATTTATAACATTTATAACACGAAACGAATTAATTGAGAAAACAAGTCGACGTCAAAGTGATTGTCAATGAAGAGCACCGTTAAGTCAATGGGCATCACATCTGTTGCCGTAATCTATTTGTATGGAAGCGTTGCTAACATAGAGGCAAACCTTGTTTTTTATAACATCTACATTGAATTGTTCTTTGGGAGGGGGTCTAGAAATTTAATCTACAAAACTTCTATCCGAGTCCATCGATGCATGGATTGCATGGTTGAGGGACTGCATCGGGGGAGACGACAGCCCTATCCAGAGACACACCGTAACCGAGTGTTACACAAACTAACTGACTATAAAAGCATAACATGTGCTATTGTGGGCCCAATTGACACTCTAATGAATACAATGTATGAATTAAATTGAAATATCGTTTTCTATTCAAATAAAGATATTACATATATTGCAATAACATAAGTTTTACAAACTCTTCAAAAGTTTTTCAATTTATATTTAATACTAATTAAGAATATTTCAATTACTTTATAAATGATTATAATCATGTTATACCGGGCTAGAGTATATAGATTTTACATTTAATTACTAACTTTAAAGTAACGATTCATAATTTACAGAAAATAGTTTGACTTTGGATTTAAAGTCTTAATAAGTAGTGATTTTGTGTAAAATCTAAAGGAAAATGTCAAAAATAGAAGTATTCAAGAGTTACCCATCTTAATACACTTATAAGTTATAACTAATTTTAAATAAGACTTGAATACAAAATGAGAATAAATAGAGAATAATAGAGACATTTAGACCACAGGTAGTATGGATTGAATGGTGGTATAGACAGCTTACAAAGAGGTGATCTTTAAGGCAAATATGGCATATTTGTGATTCCCTGCAGAGTCTCATTTCAATGAACATATTCTTATCCTTAGACACCACAGACTCTGTCTAATCCTGTCTCAGAATAGGACAACAGTATTAATAATGAATACATTGGAAAATACGATGAAACCAAGTAATTGGTTTGAAATAAACTCAACATTTCACTCTATTGTCAAAATATTCAAATTATATAGATATGTCTCCTATCCATATAATATCTTTATTGAAATATATTGAAATCTAAATAATATTGTATTCATGTTATTTTAAAGCATGAATAGAAATTCCAAAATATAATTTCTATAATATAAAAAAATAAGTTGTGTGTTATTATAACAGTATGATATAATTGTGTAATATAAAAAATTCAATATGTTAACAAAATATTTTTCAAAAGTTTATATATTTTTTCAGTAAAATTTGTTTTTAAAATAAGGCTTCTACATTTTTAATAATCACAATAATATCTAAGTTTTATTTGAAAAATGAGCAAAACATTAATTTAAACTCAATGCTATGGGGTTATACGTTTAGATCGACTGATTATGGTAACAATAAAATATAAATAAATCAATGTTGTTGTCATATTTGTATGGAATGAGAACAGAAGTGAGAAGTAGGGGTAATGTCACAGAAAATGTGTATAAAAGTGAGGAGAGAATAGACACTAATCTAAGACCCTGTCTGTCATTCACTGAGGAATTTGTTCCGAGAAGTAAAGTAAAGGGAATTTTGAGAACTTATTTGCTTACGAGATATAAATCAGTTTTCTTAAAATCAATTTGTTTCATGTATTATATTGGAGACTCATTTGTCACTCGGTCTAATACAGAGTTAACATATTTATATTTTTATTCTAATAAGTTATTATATAATTTTACAATATTTAAAATATTAAATGTCTAATACAGTATATTTTATAAAAATAGTTCTTAATAAATACAGTAAATGAAATAATAATAGTAAAAGTGTTATAATAAAATTTCACATTAATCTTCAATATGAAAATTTAAGTAAAATAAGAATTGACTTTATGCTAATTTACAATACAGTAATTTAAAAATTATTATAGAAAATTATTTTCATAAAAATATTATTTGTCTTGAAATTGTTATAATATTTGTCTTTTATATTCTTAAAAATGTAAGTGTAAAAGTATTTTTTACTCGGATATCAGTGCTAAATTTTATATATAATTTAAGACATTTGTATATAAAAAATATTTAAATAAAAATAAAAATATTATATTTGTTATCAAAATAAGAATCTCATCATTGAAACTAAATATCAAGTTAATAGTAGTTGAAAATGGTAGTTTTATAATATGCTTATAAAATAAAATAGTACAAGATAATTTTTATTTTTAATAAATATGTATACTATTTTATAAATTAAAAATTTACATCGAAAACATGAAGGACGAGGGAAAAAACAGTATTTAAAAGAGCGTGAAATGTAGAAATAATATATATTTTGCGGCCGATTGTGTAAAATATGAGCTTTGAGTAGCTTTGAGATGAAAGGTGTCGTTGAGTGCCGACCGGTGTGTTGGCCGGTGTGTTGGGTCAGTCTTATGGTGATTGTGAAGTGAGACATAAATATAGACAAATAGCGTAAATCGGCGTCCATTTGAAATGTTAACATTTGATGCTTTCCATGCAAACTGTTATAGTGAGCTAATCGGGCGTAATGTGAAAGCATTGCTTTTCTGGTCGATTCATCGTATTGTTTGGGCACCACTTGTTATTTTTTGGTCCCAGTCCTACCAGTCCTGCCAGTAGTCCTACCAGTGATGGCAATGCATTCTTTCTACAGTTCATTGCAAATGCGAGCGTTTAGTGCGATTGGAGTTGGAGTTCATTGCGAGAGAGAGAGAGAGAGAGAGAGAGAGAGAGTATAAGAGTATAACTGTTTGGGTGTTTGAGACGAATTGGCATATAATGAGTGCAATCATTGCAATGTATTCTCAATGCATTCGCACGGATATCAAGATTCTATTGTAAAGAACACTAAACCTATGTCTGTATGTCTGCACCGGTATTACACACACATACAGACATCGCAAACAGTATTTACCGATGGATAATAGTGCCAATCGAGTGGCACGGCTATGAGAGTTGGCATTATTTGTGATTCTGTATTGATTTTATGCTTATTTGAGAGCAAATCTAAACATTTTCACTCATTTCCCATTTGAGCCCAATTTATAAATAGCGAAAAAGTGCACAAAAATGCCTCAAAGGCTTGTTTTGGTGACAGAGAGCCTTCACAAGGCATACATAGCACACACTTTTGGCTCGTTGTAGCCCTTTTGGCTTTCATAGACTACTATCTACCTGTATATAACCTGGTTTCAAAGTTGGGGTAATAAACAGGTGCTCATAATATTGAGGATTATATCTCTGGTCTGAACTCCGGTCTAATACTCGGGAGACTCGACAATGCGATCGTCAGGTGTTTGGAGTCTGTGATGAGTTTGCTGTACATCTCTGGCAGACAATCCACTGAACAGCACAGATATGTCGGTGCTATAGGCGTGAGCGTATCCAATGGCACCCCATATAACTGGTATCGACTTTCAGATGCAGCGTATCATTGGTTGCCATGAACTGAAGGAAAGGCGTCACAAATGGGAGTGAAGATTGTAGTGAGAAAAATGTTGGGCACCAACGCGTGCCACTTGGACTCACTCCGACTGACACTTGCATATCATGCTAACCATAAGTCCATAGATGAACACCACTGACACTCCATCCCCTCTCCAATAGCTATATCCCATCAAATCATACCAATTAAGTAATCAATTGATTTGTGTTGAGCTCTCAAACCGCAGCAATTAGTGATCGCTTTACTGTTAGTCGTAAGATGTGTTCACGTGTTGCCATTTCATAGAGTAGTTTGCATAGCATTTGCATCCAGCTATCATTGTCTAAGAGTGTAAGTGTGCTGTGAGTGCAGTGAGGCTGTGAGACAATCACATCGAGACAACCCATCATTTCTGGTGTCCAGAAGTGTCCAATTTGTTTGAAAACTGGTACCACAAGTGCTGTCAAAATTTCGCCGTCACTCACATCCGTTGGCATCTCGTCGTCCTCTCCGGACAACTGCTGCAATAATATGGCCGCAGATTCGCAGACATCGCCTCAAAGTAAGTGTTCAATCGCTTGAGTTGTGTGGTGTGTGTGTGTGGTGTGAGTGCGGCGGTGGCGGCGACTGTCACTGTGATGCCTGTGCTGTGATCCCTGTGCAGAGCACTAGTCACTGACTCTCTGGCAGTGAGGCAGTGAATGGTGAGCCGTATGTGAGCCCATAGTCTGTCTGTTTGGTGGCGACAGTCTTCACGCGCTTATCATAGAGTCAGACACAGACCCAGTGTTGAGTCTCTGAGTCTTTGAATCCTCACATATTTGTCGCTATCATATCATTCACTACTCGTCTCTACTCTACTCTAAACCCTACTCTCAATCACTCACTCAAACGCTGTCTGAATATCGCTGTATATTTTGCAATACCTTTAGCCACACCTTAATTAGCTGTTAAGCTCGCGATTAATAAGCAATCTATGAATATATAAAATGAATGTTTGATATGATATGAGTTGTATCTGGTCTTCAGCAATAAAATGATTGATTTTGAAGGGAAATGGCCGAGGATTGCACTGTGCGTTGGCTGTGGGTCTCAGATCTATGATCAGTACATATTACGTGTGTCCCCAGACCTGGAATGGCACGCGGCTTGCCTTAAATGTGCTGATTGTCATCAATTCCTGGATGAGTCGTGTACTTGCTTTGTAAGGGATGGCAAGACTTATTGCAAACGCGATTACTTAAGGTATGTCACTGTATATCACTATATATTACTCCAACAGTATGTGAATGACTGACAAAAATAAACATTCGCGAGAAGATAGAGCTTACTATCAATGCAAGCGTTTGGCACCAAAACTCACTTTAGTCTAAAATTATCGTTAATTACTTTTGAATAAATAATAAATTGATAAAAACAACAAAATTTATAAATAGTGGTTAAGCCTACGGTACATATCTGTTGTCTCTATTTTATAGTCATTGCTATCTTTTTTGTTGATTTAAGCCATAAATTTAAAGTATAATAAATCATAAATTTCTCAATTATCTGATTTGGAAATAAGTTTTTTGAATTCTAAACATTTTATTATAATAACGATTAAACAACTTTTACGGACTTATCGCTCAAATCATTTGATTACTCGAGAAATCCTAAACTGTTTATTGAAAAATTGGATGCAAAGAGAATATTAATGAAATTCAGTAAACATTTTAAATGTATTTAACAATTTTATTGTCTACAGATATTTCATGTAGGCTTACTGTACATTGAATTTCACTGATTTAATAAATCTGTCATTTATAAGTATATTTACTTATAAGTTAATATTAGATTTTAAAACCTAAATTGATATGCCCAATTAGTATAGCTTATTAGTATAACTTATATAATATATAATATTTAATAAAATTGTACAATAATTTTCTAATTTACTACTAAATTATGAATAGTAGTTATATGTGTTTAAATAGCCCTTTTGTGATTGGTAATTGAGAGCCCTTCTAACAATAGATAAGTTGTAAAACTAATCAGTTTATATCCATTGAATTACTGATAAGTAGGAGATTTGTTTTAATAATGCGATAATATTATATTATCAACACTTATTTGATGCAAACATTATTCATAATAAGATTGTTATATAAGTTATTTGAATATAAAGGTATAAATAGAGTATAGGTCTAATGTATGATAGTTGAGTTTATGTGTGCAAAAGGGGGCAGAAGTTGAAAATTGTTGTCAAAGTCTGGGTTATAATGTTTTATAATTCAAACCACAGAGTTGTTAGTTTAATGTCGAGGCTCGTGATACGGTATGCCTGAGACTAACCCATCAGTTACTTTGTGTACATTATATACAGTGAATAATTCATAGGATATATAAATGAAAGGGGCTTTGAATGAGAGAAGAGGCATCGCTGGCATCACAGCCTAAAGCAAACATCATCTTTCATAACATCTTTATTATGGCTTTTCTATAGATATGAACGGCGCCAGCGATGAGCCAAACCAATCCAATCACCAAAAAAGGCATTTCTCAACGAATAGCACAAAGACTTACAAAACAGTCAAATACTGAGATTGACAGCCGTTTGTGGCGGTCATGCCATTGCCGTACATACATAACCCATAACCTAATAATTGATGCACTAATCAAAGAGAGTGGTTCCTAATGATGAAAACTGTTTGGTTTTAGTCAAACCAAATCCAAATATAACTCTCAAATTATCACTTATTATGCTATGTATGCGCCAATCACTCGTCACTTAAGGACTCTTCTTAAGTGTCTTTTATTGTTAAATATTATGAATCTATTGAATCAATTCCTTTGTATTACTACGGATTGTTAGCAACACTTCCAACACTTCCTATAATTATTCTAATTTCCAGACAATCTTCATAACCATTCAATGGCTTATATAACAATCGAAACAATCATATAATACATAATTATTGATAAAAGCATTAAAAATGTTAGAAATCTATCGAGAAATTGATTTTTCCTTATTTTGAATCAATTGTTTAATAATTTTGTTTACATTTGTTTTGTATTGTTTTTATTTCTTTTGTCTATTAAGGACTTGAGTTTATTTAAGTCTACGATAATTGCTTAATAACAGCGATAATATCACCGTATAATGTGTTTTGTGTGCCATATATTCACATTAATACACAAATCGGTGTTTTTATTTGAAGCCCATCTCATGCGAGTGTTTCATATCTAACACTTGATTGAGAAGTAAACAAAAGTTAATCGGAGTTACGTTTGAGCCGATTATCGCATTCAGATGACGAACCACTCAATACTTATACCAAAACCCAATTATTATTATTATTATTCATACTATTATTGCTATGCTGTAGTAGTATTCATGTATTTGCATCCTATTCACTATTAATCACTTTATAATCACTTATTTTACTTTATTAAACACACTACCCGAGAAACCTTCACAAACATCTGTTCAATGATTATTCATTTATGGCTTCAACACTACTATTTATTTCATCCCATATATAGAGCAATACATTGTATTGTTATGTAATTCTCTAAATTCAATCACACCATCAATATCATTAATAAACCAAATATTCGCCTAATGTTACCAGAGTATTTTTGTTTATATCATAGATTAATATCAAACAGTTTTATTGTACTTACTTTAAAATTAACGTGACATTTAATCAAATAATTATCACATTTAAAGTTTTAATTAGAATATATTATACATAATAATTATGATGCTTCCTTTTAAAACAATTTTTGAATGAAAACTTTGTTTTTAAATTATAAAATTTTTAACGTAAATATCCTTTTCTTTAAGTGTTTTTCATAAGTGAGTAATAAATCTTAAGTTAAGAGTTAATGTGAAGTATTGTTTATTATTTGCCTAAATTTCACTGAAAAATTGATTCAAAAATGTTAGTAAAACTTTAGAAATGATGAGAATATACCATAACTTTGTACACCTTATGTGTAAATTCTTGATTCCTTTGATTTAATTGAAAACTCGATTTTCTGGACTGAAGTTAACCTTCAAATGAATTCATGTTTCATGAATTCAATTTAAAGACTGGAATTTCTGAATAATTTTATTAATCCTTTTATTGGTAATTAAGGGACATTAAAATTTTAATTGTCGCCCAAATTCTAATAAATCAAAACACAATATTGAGACATAAGCTAATAAAAACCCCGATTTACGGTTTTATTTGATTTGTATAGCCATTTATTGTTTAAAAATAATCATTTTATTTCAAAATAATAGCAGTAAAAATTATCAACAAAGATATCTAAGCTTTTACTTTAACAAAATGTGACTCCACTTAATACGACAGTTTTACTTTTGGGAAATTATATTGTTTTTATGATTTAAATAAATTATTTAGAAGAAACACTTTTATTTTTAGAAATTCAACTAATATATAGTATGTGTTCTGTTAACTGTGAATTAATTTTTAGACTATTAAATTTAGTAATAATTATAATTTATTTCAATGCATTCTTAATTTTTAGGAATAACTTATTGATCTTTGACATTGTACGCTAAGTTTTGGTAGTTTTAGGCAGATTCTAATGCCTTAAGTAATTATTTTATTCTGGTATCATAATCTACATCTGTGTGTTAAGTAATATCATTTACACAATACTATTTTACCTGAAAACAAATAATTTTATAAAAGGTTTAGTGCAAAGATTGTCTAAGTTATGTTGTTTTTAACAATTTATATACAGTATATCTTTTCTTCGTCTTATATTTTTTAACACTTTACGTGATAATAGATTATTATAATAGAAAGCATAAAGCAATGATAATTTGATAATAACGATGAATTGACTGATAATTTTCACATTTATTTGGATTACGGACAGACTGTTCGGAGCGAAGTGTGCGAACTGTTCCAAGAGTTTCAGCAAAAGTGATTTAGTGATGAGGGCTCGCAATAAGATCTATCACATCGACTGTTTCCGATGTATCGCATGTTCGCGACAACTGAACCGCGGCGACGAGTTTGCACTCCGAGACGACGGCCTCTTCTGTAAAGTGAGGCTCTATTCACTCAAATTCTTTACATATTATTATACATTATATATATTCTTATGTCATTCGTATATAATCACAGGCAGATCATGAAGTACTTGAAAAAAACGCTCCCATCACTAACACTGACAAAGATATTAATGCATCAAATGGTTTATCCTTAAGTAATGGTCCAAACGGACCTAATAGTGATATTAATGGTAACAATATTTCTCCCAATTCTGGTACTCATCTTCAAATGACAGGTAAGACTCATTTCTCATATTTCTTTATATTCAACATCACTTGATATCACTTTACATAATAGTCTACAAAGTAGTGCACTTGTACTGTATGAACACTCTTATGAGAGTTCTTTATTTAGTTTAATATTATAATTTGTCAATTTATATAAGTTATAAGGAGTTTGCATTTTAAATATTCTTTTAGTTATTTTTTATCGACTTATACTACAAATTCTTACATGCTTTTGAGTTCAGGTTTATCTCCTATATTAAAATTTCTTTGTAGTTATTATTTCTTTTGATAAAAACAAATACAATTTAAAAAACAAAATTAAAAATAATATTTTCTTATTTTTAAAATCCAAACTGTTCTTAAATACAATTTTTTTAAATTATGAGACGAGTATTGATTCCCAGAAAATGATTAGATGTGAAAATGAATAGTTTTTGAAACGATGCCTTTAATGATATGTTGTTTGCAAAATATTCACTATAAAAGCGCCACAATTCTAGTCTATTAGAAAAGTGCTGCGATTCTAAAACAAATATTATTTTGTGCCGAGGATTCTCTCTCTCTCTCTCTCTCTCTCTCTCTCTCTCCTCAATGTTTGAACACCTGATTAGTTCACACGCGAGACGCGAAATCTGAGCCCCGAATGTTTGACCGTTTGTTTAATTAAAGGAACATTTACTTAGTTTTGAGTTACTTTAGGCATAAGTTTTTGTGTCGTCCGCTCTTGACATTAGAATATAAGTCATAGAATTGAATATAAATTCAATAAACCCTTATTTGGCTTATTATGTGTTAAATAATATGTTGTAATCTGTTGTATTGAAAGCTACAGCCGAACCGATACCATTGGGCCGACACCACCGGGAATCGGGTCGTCCGAGTGGTCACAAACAGAGTGCCGAACATAAGCCGACGCGAGTGAGGACTGTATTGAATGAGAAACAGTTGCATACACTGAGGACGTGCTATAACGCCAATCCACGTCCCGATGCCCTCATGAAAGAGCAATTGGTCGAAATGACAGGATTATCGCCCAGAGTTATCAGGGTCTGGTATGTACAATATTTCATGGAATGAGTGTTTATTGAGTGAAACAAATGAAAATATTTTTTAATCATTAAAAAGGTTTCAAAACAAGAGATGCAAAGACAAGAAACGAAGTATTTTAATGAAACAAATGCAACAACAAGAAAAGGTTAGCTATATTTTTCACGATCCCATCAGTTATTATTTTGCATAAAAAATTCCAAATTGTTTTATTTTATGGCATAAAATGACAAAACAATGATTAATGCAAAATATTTTTTTTCAACTAAAGAATTGAGAATTTATTAATGAATTAATAATAGAGATCACGTACACTATACGTGCGATTAAAACCCAGTCATTGTATCACAAAATTTCCATTCAAGAGCTAAAAAATTAACTCAGTTTTCAGTAATTAACTAATTATAACAAATTGTGTTTCCATTTATTATTATAGTCATTACAAAGAATACAAATAAAATAATTTTTATGCAAATCGTAAGAAAATATTCCAATAGATTTAAAATGATTTAAAGTTTACATTATCTGAGGCTTATGTAGTGATTATAGATTTAGAGTTTGAAGTAAAATGTCACTGGTATTATATGACACTTTGCCAACCAAACCTAACAGATAGTGCCGTAACATGAATGAAGTTTTCGCAGCTTTTGATGTAATTTATATGTTGTTTGTATTTGAATGGATAACTCAATGCATGACAGTATGTGTAAGGGAGTCCTACTAAGGACTGAGAGGTAACATAAACTGGCGATTCTTTCTTCGCGATCATAATTAAAAGTGTTTGGAGATTGAGTGCAGACATTAGGCATGTCGTAGTGGCACCGGGTGTGTGTCATGTGTATGGCCTATGATCTAACGTTACACCTCTGGTGACGAAGAACAGTAGCCAGAAATGCAGACATTGAGAGCTAATGCATGTCTCACCAGTAAATTGTTTGTCTAAATACAGAATTCGCATTAAAAGCGAAATTTCCTTAAAATCTTTTGTGCGTTAAATGCAAAGAGAAAATGCATTACTACTTAGAAAATGTAAGAAATCATAAGTAAATTTTTTGTGTTAAATAATACACACATTTGATCGGTGGTGACCCAAACAGCCTAACGGTGCTAAACGCGAGCCTCTAATATTTGATGTGTGAGAAGACGCCGTTTGAATTGAAATAGCGATTGAAATGGTAGTGAATATGAATGGCATAATAGTTGCACTAATAAAGTAAATGTATTTGTATTGATAGTAATGTATGCCCTAAAAGCACTTTTTCATCGCTAACTCATAAAGGGCTACACATTAGCCATGTTTTTTAGAATCGCTTTACTTTACACAATCACACCATCTCTTCGGCAATAGTCTTCACCCAATTGTATAGACGTATAGACACACTAAAAACTGCATCTTTTGTTGTATGAGTTAGAGTAGAAAAAGCAAAGAGAGTTCCCTTTTAATGTCAGCGCTCTCTCCTCTTTTCCACTCAACCCAGAGCTGGTCAACCGTACTGTACATCCAGTCTATGCCCATCCATACATCCATACATACATCCATACACTACACTATTTCTATGTTTCTGTGTCTATGTGTACACTTATGGCGAGTAGTATAGCATTTCTGTTCCCTCTACTAATGGCATGCCTTTCAATACAAACACAAAACTATATGAATGTAGTGAACAGTAATGTATATAAACTTATATTATATTATATATAGATTCGAATGTTGTGCACAAGTATTGCACAAATAAATTGGTTTATGCCTTATAACGAGATTAATTATGAGATATAGTGAACACATTGCTAGTACTGAACAGCACTGGTAGAGCACTGGTAGAGCACGGCTAGAGTGGCAGCACAACAGCACATCCAACTGAGCTCTTTATGAGATTAAACAACAGACTAGTGCTGTAGTGCTGATGCTTTTTGTATGCACTCCAATAGTCCCAATGGACATGTATGTGCTCTCCTCCCAAAAATACATCAAAATTGTTGTTACAATAGAAGCACCTTTATCTCGTTACCATACCATACGTACCAGTTATGAAGTTTATGGAGTTTATGGAGTTGATCCAAAGCATCATCTCTATAAATACTGCATATCTCTCTATTATATAACCATTAACTCTCTCTCTCTCTCTCTCTTGCTCTCTTATCTACCTTTGTTAGTGGGCTCTCCCTGTGACCAATTGGCACCGATTCCTATGCCTTCCCTCTAATCTATTCTAATCTATTGTAATTCATTCTCTTGAATGCCTTTCAAATATTAATAGCGTAATCATGAGTAACGATAACCTAATATGTCTCACGGGTTCTGTCAGTTCCCATCTTTCATATCATATTCACTATAATGTTGGCCAACGATTCGACACTAAAATCATAGCAAAAACTACTCATTTGACAACTGCTTAGTTCTCTTAACTATTATATTATTTTTCTAAATACTAGACATTCAAGTCATTGAATATACAATCTGTGATTTTAAAACTCTTATATCTATGACCAGTGTTCTGGTCTAAACATATTAGTAACTAATGTTTGATTGAATTATGTGACTGTGAGTACAACAAAGAATTTTATCAAATTTTGTGTTAAAAATGGTTAGATTTGCCGGAAGGGATGTGTTGTGATGCGATGGCATCGTTTGCATGTAATAGTAGGGCAGATGTTTGATACAAATGGGTCCAAACTTGTGCTTCTCATAATTGATTCGGGGTTTGAGTTACTCCTCTCATACGAGTGCAACAAAAAGATGCTTATCTTGAGGAGCCGTGTGGGCCGCAGCCACTGATTTTCATCAAACAGGTCTCTCGAGGGTTATATCACTCCACCAATCAGTCGGCAATTCATTTACAGATGATCTCTCTCTCTCTCTCTCTCTCTCTCTCTCTCTCTCTCTTACTTTTTCATAACTTATTTGTTTTGACGCTAACATTGTATTCAATGATCAAAAGAATAAAGTGAGTCAACAAAACAGATAAATGCATTGAAGCTATTTGTCATTGTTATGGATACAGGCATACAGTGGCCAAACATATAAATCACATAAATTCACGTTTAACTATCATTGCCTTAAATAAATGTTTGAACGCATTCACCATTCACTCCAATATAAGGCAAATATTATGAATTTTGTAAATACTTTGGAGACTTACGGTATATTTGTTAGCTTTGATTTATTTCTAATAAACTTAACTTAAATTCTTTATAATCAATATATTAATTTAACATTAAGTGAATATTCTGTGTAATAAGAATTGAATAATTCTAGAAAAGTCATTCATCTGATTGATAGTCATGTGGTGATTAATTTCACTTTTTGATTACCGTTCAAACATAGATATTTGAAAAATAATTTGTAAAATTTTATAAACCTTATAAATTTACTTCATTAAATTTTATTTTATGTTTTTCTAAAACTGGTTAATACAGTAATTACACGAATAGTGTTTATAAATATTATCGCAGCTTTAACTGACTTCTAACTACTTATAAGCCCCTGAGCTCAACATTAATTGTGGAAATGTTTTCAAGAAATTAGTATAATATATAAATAACTTTTGATTTGATATCTTAATTGTAAAATGAAATGACTTTAAAATATAGAGCGAGAATTGTAGAGAAATGGAGTTAAATATTAATCATAATTAAGAATATTTTGTATTCAAAAGCTATGCTCTAAACAGATCTGAGAGACAAATCGGATAAAAGGCAAACATAATGTAGTATATTCTGTATGAATATAAATATTATTATTATTATTTAGGACTTTGAAAGGGTCGGGAGTGTTGAGGATGTTTTAAATTTAGCAGAAATGCTGGAAATTACAATCTTTTAGATGTGACTCAACTCACGAGTAACTGGAGTGAGAGGTCTGTCTGATGAAGAACTCAAAGCCAATGCACTACTAATGGCATAGAGTTGGAGACCAGTGAAGAGTAGACGGAGCGTAACGTTTGTTATTAAAGCCGCCCAACACTGAAAACAGTGAACACTCCGATTCCTACCATTCCCTACCATTCCCTGCGAGCGTATACTAAATGTACATCTTTTCGCTCATAATTTAATTATTCCTTTTTTGAGCCAAAAAAGTAAAGCGACTGAAAAGTGTCAGAATGTATTAGAAATACAATTTGAAATGATTTTCTAATCAAATCAAACACTTTAATGCTTATAGCAGTTGGTGTGCAATAATTGGCATTTAAGTGAAGAATTTCACTTAAGTTCTGAGTCTATGGACTGACAACTACACTGAGGGCCTAAAGCTGCCTAGATTTGGCTAATTGTAATCTCTGGCACATCCAGTGAACCGGTGAGAGTCCGGGCGCTGACTAGAAATGGCAATAATCGTAATAATGGTTATAATAATAGTAATGATAGAGCGCTGTTGTATTGATTGTATGATTGAAGGGATGCAGAGCTATAGTCGAGACAATAGTGAGAGAATGAGAGTTCACATGACGTGCACTTTTCAGTAAGTTCACTTCAATCATAAGTACATATTATATGTATTGCACAACAAAACAATTGAAACTGCAGTCCATGTATTTGAGATGCATTTCATGTGAGATAGACTGCGGACCGGCTCAGTTGGGTACTGTTGGGCACAGTTAGCTGTGTTGGCCCTACGGAGACGCGTGTCTCCGAGCAGGAGTGAGGCATACGCTACACGTGTCTGTATATAAAACTTGGGAATTATCGGCTTTTGTGTGCTCTCAATGTCACAAACTGTCCATTATATACGAGTTGAGTTCACTTCACATACCCTCTATCCATACCCTACCAAACACTACCAAACACTCAGTTCATTAAATGCTTTATTCCCTCAAAGCTAACCATTTCTTGTGTAAAACGTGAAAAAATTGTTTGAGAAAAAGGCCTCCACTGTTAGGGCACTGTTCGGCACTGTAGGACTGGTAGGACTGTTAGGCCGTTCACTCTATTATTATATTATGGTTTGCGTGTCTCATACGTATATCCAATGCACCCAACCCTCGGTTACGCCGAGGATAGTGACTGATAATGCATTGTCTGTACTGTGGCTGCGGTCGCACGTAACGCGTGCCGATCACGTGTGTCACGCAAACCTCCAATTTTACCTGTACTTCACTCGCCGTACTATAGCCGCTAAGACTACAAATCACTACATGACTAATGATTATTACTATCATTTTGTTTACCAATTGTCACACATTCGTAGCTTTTGTCCAATACTTTCCACACAAACCATGGGAAAGATTTTGGTTTCATTTTTTATGAGTTTTTTACGTTCAACTCATTTCAATAAATTATATATAAAAATAAATTTGATAGATATGCGACCAAAAAGTCCATATATTATACAGTATATGATTTCTTATATTATGATTTTGTTTTGTATTTCAGTATTCAATGGTCGCATTCAGTGATTCTGATTACACAACCGAATATTCCCCGGTAGGGCTCATGTAGTTTACAACTTAGATATTTATTTTCAAGCATTTCTCTACTTTCTTACTATTCTGTACTCACATTCAATACAAATAATTTGCTTCATCTGTAAAATGCATGATTAGTGGGAATGAGAGTAAATTCCCAATCAATGACTACTTTATATCTTTACTCCTGTCATACAATTGAATAGAATCTATAAATAGAGACTTTTCTTAGGATATATTTATGGCTAATGTTTGAATAGTTTGACAGACAATAGACTATAAGAATAATATCATATATTTTGATAAATAGGACGGAAGACAATTGAACTTATCATCGATGCGTGGCGTTCCCCTCATAGCCACGAGTCCTGTTCGTCATGAAAGTCCAATTCAAGTAAACCCACTCGAAGTACAAACCTACCAGCCTCCATGGAAAGCACTGGCAGATTATGCACTACAGCCTGACATTGATCCCAATGCGCCTCACTTTCAACAACTCGTAAGTCAGGTAAGACTCCACATCTATTGCCTCCGACAATAAAAGTCTTATAAATGTTGGCACCGACTCTTGTCTCGCAATAGTCTTGTGTCCCGTTATTACCCCCTCAGCCCCTCAACCCCTCAACCCTTTCTATTATATGGAAATACATTTTATTGCTCATAAATGTATGCATACTATGCGCTCCTCAATAATAGTCACCATTTTCAACATTACCGCTATATCTCTCACTAAGACTTCACTTCACAACTAAATTCATCGCAAACAGTCAAAACAGTTTCAGTCAGTGTTTTGTCACCAAATTTTTCCAGTCGTACCACGATTGCAATCATTAGACATACGAAACAAAGACGACATCTTTATGTCATATAATCACGAATTTGTGATTTGAATATAAATTTATTTTTTGAAAAAGAAGTTTTCAAATAAAACTCATTTATATTTATCTATAATTTATTCTCGTTTAATATTTGCTTATAAAAAGTAGTCGAAAGAAAAGTGTATCCAAACTCCAAACTGCTTTAATCTCGGAGTAGAGTTCAGATTAAATTTGCAAAAAAACTCAAATATTGCTTAAAGCATATTATTTGTTGGTTTTGTGATTCGGAGCTTATATTATATAAGCAAAGATCAGCCAATTTTATAGACAAGTCATTCGGAGGTTATTCTCTAAAATAAACAGAGAGTTTGGGAGCAAATCCTAACTTGAAATAAGATGATTGTCAACGCAATTGCAATATTTTGTGTCAGACTCTGCGCGCAAACATTATGTTTGGCTAAACCAACAGCCCATAGGCGAGTCTCAGGAGAGATTATCCAACTTTTGTAGTGATTTACTTTTTTTGTGACATAACGTGAATTGTTAGCTATCATTCATATCATTGATTGTTGACCCACACAAACATAAACCCAATTATAGTATACAAACAAATGAGAGATGCCTTCGGGCGGAATAATATTAAGATTGCTTTTACTTTAACTTTTAGTCTGATTTGAAGTTAGGGCTAAAAAACCAATCACTAGAATATCAAATACACTTCAATCTCAATAACATATCCATTCATGAGAATTGCTCCGAGATATCAAATTTGATTAAATTAATGGAAAAATAAAAAGTTTAGTTGCAATACAGAGATCAATTCAATTTATTTGCATTAATATGAATATTGATTATTTTTTAATGAATTTATTTGAATGAATTTGTGAATGAAAAACAACTGCTAATTCTGTAGTAGTAATGTGTTTAAACTTTATTGTGGAAAAAGCAGTAAATTATAGGATTTGCTGTCAAATCATTATTAGATGCAAAAAAAGTGATGAACTATTAAATAGAAACGCTTTCATTAAAGCATATATTAATTATCGGATAATTACTATACTTTTGGATAATTATTAAAATATAAAATAAAGACATTCTTTGAAAATAAATTACATTTTTACCTCAAATACTGGTTTTTATTATCAGGCAATCAATTGAATGTCTTTTAAATAGTGTATAATATAAGACGCGACTCAGCGGGAGATTAGTGTTGGACGTCATTCCCAATGATATACCGACACCTTTGCGAGAAATATAGCATTTGATATAATATGTTAAATACGCCTCATTTAACCAATGCTTTTGGCATTCATTCAAACATCAAGTTTGATCTGAAAACATATCTCTTGACACAACCATTCTTCACAAAGACTGCCAAAACAGGCATCTCTTCCATCAATTCCTTTTCATTCCTCTCCATTCCCTGCCTTTCCATTCAATTGTTGTCTTTCAAAGCAATCAAACTTTTTGTATAGACTTTGAAAAATGTTTACAATTTCTTTAAAATATATAATTTGTAATTAACATAAGTATTTACCGTCTATTAGATGCACGGCTATTCAGATTTGCCACCAAATGATACATCGTTATCATCATTGCACGGTCCGCCTACCGGCCCCTGTACTCCATTGTCATATTTAGGTAAATGATAAAAGACATGCATTTCTTACTCCATAACTAACTCGTGTCCATACGATGTAGAGCCAGACCTACACCAGCCTTCGAGCAACATGTCATCTGACCTCTCGAGTCCCTGTGCCAGCGATTGAGACTACAATCTATAGCCACAAACACTGTTAGTTCCTGAACATTGAGGCATACATTCTGTACATCTCTATTATTTAACCATTTTATGTATTTTAAGTCATTATTTGAAAGCCTTTTAAACAAAAATAATTTACAAAAACAAAAGAAAAATTTATTATTTTTATTCTAATTAATAATTTGTTGTCCATTGTATTTAACCCTAAAATTCTCATACAGTAAATTGTTTACTATTTTTAGAAAAAAGGCAATCATTCAGTTGTATATATTTATATAATTCATTCACTTTAGTTGTAATTATAACAGCGTTTGAACTAATGATTTGTAAATTTAATAATTTTTGGATTTGATTTGATTATAGAGAACGTATATAAAAATTTGTATTTAAATACAACAATTGTCTAATTTGTTTACAACGATATATCTACATTATAGTAATACATATGAAGTATGTGTGCGAATAATACGAATGACTTACAAATTGAGTGCTTATTTACCAAATGCTCAAAAGACAGCTTAAGTCAAACATATTTAAAGTATTGTCCATCAAAAAGGTATTACTAATAAAAGTATAACTATTTAACAGAAAGGCATTCACTTTTGACATGCAGTGAATGCTAGGTGTGTCAGGTGCTGGTGCTGTTCAGGTGCTACTATCATATTCTCATTCACTGTTCACCTCTTCTAAAGTGAACACTACTTCTCAGATATAATAGATTTACAAAGAATTGCTGCAATTCTATGTCTCTATGTCTACAGTTGGGTACAGTTGTGGCCTTTTGTGTGATACAACACAATACACTTCATATGTATGTATAGTATGTATATTAATACATAAAGAATACTGAATATTGTGTTCATAATATTGAGATGTGATGTGTGCGCGCATATGAGCACTCAGTGGAACTGTATGTTTGGCCGGGTATGGCATGTATAGCACAGTATGAGCACAGCTGCCTCTTCTAAATATGTATTTACAACAAAAGAGCGAAACATTTGCAAAAATGACCAAAAAATCATTTCTTCAATGGAGTAGTTTTGCTAAACACACAAAATGCCACAAAAGGATTCATCTCTAGGGGTGGGCCACGACTTCTACTATCGACTCGTATATGAATATAAATCACATCAAATAAGCCCAAAGTCTGTCTATTTTGGCATTAATTCTATTACTAAATAATAATAACTTAAAACATGGCATTCAATGCATAAGTCTAATAGTTTTCTCAACACTCTATTCAAGCGGTCATCTCAAGCGAACTCATGTCTCATATTTGCTGTACATTTAGATGTGTTGTTCGTAATGTTAGGTAATTTGGTTTCTTTCTCATACCAGAGCACCAAAACATCTCCACTAAACTCAATCAACTTCTTTGTGACGCCTATTCTTGAACCAAAGCAACCAATAGTGAAGGAATCCATACCTATTATATAAGCTCTTATAGACCGCCTTATTATGGATTACTTTTCATGCATTTCCATCCATTCTCTACTTACAATTTTTTATTCCCATCAAATCAAACCACGTCTATCTATTTAATATATTTTTAATTCACTTTTATTAAGGTATATTTTTAATTTGATTATATTTTTTAAAATTCTAATTGTCGATTAATTTACAAATATATTTCAGTGATACCCACAATAGTTTAGTTATTAAACGAAAACATTTAAATTATAAATAGAGAGATTATTTAAATATAATTGTGGCATTTTACAAGAACAAACACTCATATTTTACATCATACAGTATTGCATAGGATTTTGATAAAATAACATATTTTATTCAATAATGATAATACTAATACTAATAAATTTAATATAAAAGTCTCTTTAAGCCTTAAATCGATACAATATGTTGTGATTTACTGGGAAAATGTTGTCAATTCATAATACAATTACGGTATACTATATTAATAGAGAATATTAGTGTACATTTAATGATTTGTATATAAAACATACTACGGTAATATCTTATTAAAATGAGTATACCTATTATATAAGCTCTTATAGACCGCCTTATTATGGATTACTTTTCATGCATTTCCATCCATTCTCTACTTACAATTTTTTATTCCCATCAAATCAAACCACGTCTATCTATTTAATATATTTTAAATTCACTTTTATTAAGGTATATTTTTAATTTGATTATATTTTTTAAAATTCTAATTGTCGATTAATTTACAAATAAATTTCAGTGATACCCACAATACTTTAGTTATTAAACGAAAACATTTAAATTATAAATAGAGAGATTATTTAAATATAATTGTGGCATTCATATTTTACATCATACAGTATTGCATAGGATTTTGATAAAATAACATATTTTATTGAATAATGATAATACTAATAATAATAAATTTAATATAAAAGTCTCTTTAAGCCTTAAATCGATACAATATGTTTTGATTTACTGGGAAAATGTTGTCAATTCATAATACAATTACGGTATACTATATTAATAGAGAATATTAGTGTACATTTAATGATTTGTATATAAAACATACTACGGTAATATCTTATTAAAATGAGTATGATTTACTGGGAAAATGTTGTCAATTCATAATACAATTACGGTATACTATATTAATAGAGAATATTAGTGTACATTTAATGATTTGTATATAAAACATACTACGGTAATATCTTATTAAAATGAGTTAACATTTGTTGCAAACAGTTTTGCAGCTATTTAATGTTTTAAGGAATAACTAACACATGTATTATATGCTATTGTTAAACCTATGTGGTATTTGTATTGCAGACTAAATATTGACATTTACTATAACATTATTATATTTTATGGTTTGATTTTTGAACAAAACAAATAAATTCTATCTTTATTTTGGGTTTAATTTACTTTTAAAATAACTCCAAGTAATCGATAAATATACTAAATATTGACATTTACTATAACATTATTATATTTTATGGTTTGATTTTTGAACAAAACAAATAAATTCTATCTTTATTTTGGGTTTAATTTACTTTTAAAATAACTCCAAGTAATCGATAAATATTATTAGCTTAAAATTCTAAGTTATGATCAATATGATTTCTATTGACAATCAATTTCTATTTAATTTTTGTTTTGCAAATTTTTATGTGAACTACCCTTTTTATTGATATTTTAGTTTGTTGTATATAATTTTAGTAAAATTAAAAGTTATTTAATGAAATGACTTCATCAATCAAATTGGTACAAGATCAAAGTGTAATAATTATTTTTATAATTTCTATCAATTTAAATGTTTATAAGCTATAAATCTATTTTATATATTTGGTTCATACACTTTATAGACATACATTGAAATATTTATTAGAATTTCATATAGAATATTATAAAAATATAGACATTTATAATTTATTTGTTAGATATTATTGAACAGGAATTTGTTTGCTTAGTTAGTCTGCAGTTGAGTATTTATCGCAAATGGGATTCGAGTCGCTTCTGAAAAGAGCCAAAACATGGGAGCGACTCATATGACAGACATATACTGATGAGTGAATAAAGAAATGAAAGCGACTCTAATCGCTAAGGAATGGGCAACAGATAGTCATAAACTGGAGGGCTATTACTAAAAGCAAAATAAGAGTCGGACGAGTCGTAAAACAAGTCGGACTCTTCTGACAAATTACTTAATAACACCGGAGAAGACCACACTCCTAACCCCTAACCCCTAACCCCTGTCTCACTCATCAACAATTAAGTTGCTGCCAATCCTCTCGGCTTATCTCACATTTTCAACACATATTTCATAAATTGTGTGCAAAAATGACATCAATTCAAAAACAAATGTATATATTTTTGACGAAACTGCAATATATTTTGTTCTGAATTGATATAATAGTTACACTAATAGTTATTAAATAGCATTTTAGTTTATAGTCTTTTAATATAATTCTCTTTGAACTTAATTCCCTACCTGTGTCTCAATGTGATTAAGAATATCGTTAAGATAATCAAAATATTGTCAAACAGGTCTAAAACCTAATATTTTTATTTTAAATTATAAATTGCTTTTGTAATTTTATCAAAGTATTCTTATTAGTAATAAGTTATTACTTTTAACATTACTTTCTCTAATAAGTTATGTAAACATTTGAGTTACGTTAAGCAATAAAAGCAAATGTTAAATAAGTAATAAGTATTACCGGTATATTAATAATAACATTAACAATTAATTAATCAATATTATAGTACAGTAGTTAATTAATCACATAGTAATCAATATTATTGTAAGGCACATTTCAATTATCTCATAACATCTTAAGCTTTGACTATAAATTGAAAATTATAACTTTTAATTTAGATGTTTATATTGCACACCCAATTTCAAATTTAATATATTCTTGAAAGAAATTTATTGCAAAGTTCTTTAAGAAATAAATTTATATTTTTAATTATTAATTTCATAATCAGAAATTAGTCAAATACCAATTTTACTTTCATTTAAAAAATTATATTCCGATAAATATCAAAGCGATGAGTATATAATATATATTATGATATTTAAATAAATTTAATTTTGAAATTAATATTAAAATTACTTTTAAAACCAAATGAAGACATAAAGAGCCTAATATTAATAGGAAACTCATATTTATTTAATAATATTTAAACTTGATCTATTCTTAGGTCTTATTTGTATTTTTATAAATTTTTAAAATAAATTTAATTTTTAATTCATTATTATTTCAGACACATTTCAACGAAAACTTAGATAACTTTAATGTAAACCTTGACAGACAGCCAGACAGAGAGATAGTCAGACATAGAGTTTAAATGCTAATAAAGAATTTAATTCTACTTCACCGGTATATCTTGTACTGTATAAATTGTAAATAGTAATAAAATTTTATTTAAATTAGCCGTAAAATGTATATAATTTGTATTTAATTTATAACTAATAAAAAAGTAAAAACAATAATATTAAATGCCATTTGATTTATATTACACAACAAATATTTTTAATCATTAAACATTTATCTATAAAAATTCTGAATGATTAATGAAAAAAGTTTCGAAATTTCCCAAAGAATTTGTGAAATAATTAATTAATTAATGAAAGAAATAGTATTTTTATCAGACCATTGACTTAAATCCGAGAAATTAAGTTTCGTAATAAATAAAATGCGATGAAAAATACGAAATGTTAGAAATACTGTATTGTGTAATATGTGTGACAAATGTGTGACCAGTGATGAGGCGGTGATGAGAGAGAGGACTGGATGTTATGAAA